CCACTCTTCGGTTACTACTGCACGTTGCTGCTCACCGTGACTACGAGCTGCACTCTCTCGACTTCAGCACTGCTTTCTTGCAGGGCAACCTGCACGAGGAGATCTGGCTGCGTAGCCCACCTGGCTTCACTGGGTCTTTCCCTCCAGGTACCCAGTGGAGTCTCCAACGTCCAGTCTACAGTCTCCGCCAGGCGCCACGTGAGTGGCACGACACACTGAGGACTACGCTTGCGGCACTTGGGTTTGCTCCTTCTACTGCCGACCCGTCGCTGTTTCTGCGCACCGACACCTCTCTGCCGCCGTTCTACATCCTCGTGTACGTCGACGACTTGGTCTTTTCCACAGCTGACACTACTGGACTCGCCTACGTGAAGTCTGAGCTGCAGAAGAGACACACGTGCACTGACCTGGGTGAACTGCGCAGCTACCTTGGCTTGCAGATCACCCGGGACAGAGCACGCCGCACCATTACCCTGACTCAGTCACACATGGTGCAGCAGGTCCTTCAGCGCTTCGGCTTCACGTACTCCTCGCCTCAGGCCACTCCTCTGCCTACTCGCCACTCGCTCTCAGCTCTGCCTTCGGATGAGTCCGTAGAGTCGAGTGGCCCGTATGCAGAGCTTGTTGGCTGCCTCATGTACCTGATGACCTGCACTCGACCTGACCTTGCATACCCTCTTAGCATTCTCGCACGCTATGTTGCTCCTGGGAGACACCGACCACAGCACATGGCTGCAGCGAAGAGGGTGTTGCGCTACTTGTGCAGTACGTCGGGCATGGGGCTAGTGCTTGGAGGGCGCAGTCCAGTGGTCCTCACTGGGCACGCGGACGCTTCTTGGGCTGACGACCAGGCTACGCAGCGGTCGTCACAGGGTTACACCTTCGGCCTTGGTTCCGGCTCTGTTTCGTGGCGGGCTACTCGCTCGTCTTCTCTTCTCGGCTCCAGTTGTAAGGCTGAGATCTACGCCGGGGCTATGGCTGCTCAGGAGCTTCGCTGGCTCACCTACCTTCTGACCGACCTTGGAGAGCCGCCTCGTTCTCCTCCAGTCCTGTACGTAGACAACAAGGCCATGCTGGCCTTGTGTCGAGAGCAGCGACTGGAGCACAGGACAAAGCACATTGCTCTCCGCTACTTTCTTGCTCGTGAGCTACAGCAGCGTGGACAGTTGCGACTTGCGTACGTGGCCTCTGAGGCCAACACTGCTGATGTCTTCACCAAGGCACTTGCGCCTTGTGATCATCAGCGTTGTTGCACGCAGCTGGGTCTTGTGCCTGTCTTGCCTTTCTTACTCACTTCTTGACCTTGCTTGTACCTTCACTTATATATACTCTTGCTCTTGCTTAATTGACTCTTGTATATCTCTATATATGATGTTGTATGTGAACTGGCCTTGTGGCCTTTGAACTTGTGCTCGGAATGTGTGGTGACTTTGTGATCCACCTTGAGCTTTGCTTTGCTTTGCTTGACTGGTCTTGTGACCCCTTGTTCTCCCCCACTTTGCCTATGGGGGTGTGTCAGAACATATAGCTTACTTATTTGTGTAGGCTATAGTGGGGTATCCCATAAGGGGTACAACCCAAATTAGGGTTTCCTATTTGTACTCACTTCGTTCATTCTCGTTCACTTCTTCTCACACCTTTCTTGCTTGTTCTCTCATATTTGTACCCTTGAAACTATAGTGAAACCCTCTTTTCTCTCGACATTTCTCCTCCAACTCCAACTCAACTTCCTACCTCACTAGCTATGGCTCCTAAGCCTTGCTATATTTTTGACAATGAAATCATCACGACAGCGGCCGGCAGGACAGTTGCAGCCGATACCACCCCCAGAGCGTGCTTCGCAGCAGGTGACGATGGACTTCGTCACGGGGTTACCAGCCGGGGCGAGTGGGAACGACGCGATCCTGGTCGTCGTCGATCGACTAACGAAAATGGCACATTTCGCAGCCTACAAAAAATCAATCACAGCCGAAGAAACAGCACGTCTCTTCATCTCCACCGTCGTTCGACTGCACGGGATACCAGCCGCGATCATCAGCGACCGCGACACGAACTTCACTAGCAACTTCTGGCGGAACCTGTGGCAGCAGTTCGGCACGCGACTGCAGTTCAGTTCATCATACCACCCCGAAACCGACGGATAGACAGAACGGACAAATCAGACCATGGAACAGCTCATCAGGGCCACGTGTGACGACGCGACCACGTGGGAACAGCAACTGCCACTAATCGAATTCGCGTACAACAACTCGCCATCCGCCACGACCCAACAGTCACCATTTTACCTAAACTACGGATAAGACCGGACAGTACCCATGACCGCGAATCCCGACAACCCACTACCACGAGCACAACAGCTCGCCGAAATATTACAAGCAGCACGGACCCGGGCAGTAGACGCAATAAAAAAATCGAACATCATCGCTAAACGCAACGCCGACCGCCACCGCAGACCTATCACTTACCAGCCCGACGACTTAGTTTTACTTGACACTCAGAACCTCCCACTGCCCATCACCTCGAAACTCCGCCCCCGATACTGCGGGCCATTTCGCATAAGCTTCATGCTTACACCCGTCACCGCCCACCTCCTCCTCCCTGCTGACTGGTACGTCAGCCCCTCATTCCACGTCAGCCTACTTCGCCCTTACGTCCCGTCCACGAGCCAACTGCCACGCAATCGCCTAGCCAGCATGACAAGACCACCAACTGAACCAATCATCACCCCCGAGAAAATCCTGAGTCACAGAGTTCGCGACCCTCGAGGAGCCCGACAGATCGAGTTCTTTCTCCGCTGGAAGGACCGCACACCCACCGAAGACAATTGGGTTCCCCTGGACAGAATCGAAAACCACCCCGTCCTCACCGAGTATCTGCGCAGCCGGAACTCCAGGGATGTACACGCACTTTCGTAAGGAGGACCTCCTTAGGGGGGGGGGGGGGGGGGGGGGTAGTGTAAGGAAAATTCATTTTCCTTACTTCGCATCCCTGCTCAACGCGTACATCACTGTAGCACCACAGTCAGCACCGTTACCACTCGCAACCCTCGCATCGACAATCCGCCCGCCACCTTCGCACATCGCACCCCGACCTCACGGCTTGGCGGGTAACCCACGCTCCGGGCCTCCGCTTCAACACTTTTTCCCAACCTCAGTCCCAGGCCCGTCGCGCGAAAACCACAGTCCAGTACCGTTACCACTGTAGTTTCGCTATATATTCTTCGCTCATGCCTTCGCTCATTGTACTCTTGCTTCGATAGTGCAATTCTCGTTCGTTCACTCAATTGCACTCGTAACAAGTTTCGAAATTTCAGAAAGGACCGTTCTGCACCCGCTATTGGGACCGTCCGCAACGAATAAAGTGGACAGTACGAAAAAACATGGAAAATAAGAGAAACGCCCTCAGGGCTTATTCGCGGTCGAACATCGAAAGGCCTTTTGGTGTCTGTCAGATGACAGGTGGACCTCTCAGGAACCCCTCTCACGCACTGCTGTCTGCCAGCGCAGCATAACCCGATTGCCTCGTAACGGCCATACGGTCCAAAACCCATCGGGTACTGTAGCGCAGCTGAATCTAGAACGGGGGGGAACCTGGGTGAGTAGCGCACGAAAGCTTACACTTGTCGCGCGCTTGCTTGAACTTTTCGCGCACTTGCTTGTGTGGCCACTGGGCTGGCTGGGCTGGGCGGAACTTCCTGCGATGGCGGCAGGGGGAGGGAAGCTGGAAAAGGCGGAAGGCGCTAGGGATTTGGTTGGTAGGCGTCGCTACTTTTAGTGAGGGGGACTTTTGGGACCACTCAAGAGTCATCTTGGGAATGGGGAAATGGAGCAGGCGACAACATCGAGAGACCTGACACAGCGTTCACGCTGGTGCATTAAGAATCCAGAATGCTTCAAAGAGATACACAACGGTATTGGGACTACTGCCTACCCTATCAAGGCCTCCGCCCTTCTGTTGATGATAGGATGTGTGGTGGAGGAGAGAAGGGGGGGAGGACAAGGGGGAAATGAGGTACTGTGTACAGTTGTGAGGGAAGGGGAGTGAGGGGGGGGAGCCCCCAACCCCCTCCCCCCCCTACTTTGCCCGTGACCAGTCACATCACGACGAGTCGCCCCACCCTCTTAGACTCTCATCTCACCACCAGCAGCAGCGCTAGCGGCGGACGGGCAACATCTAGCCACCTCCACGCGGCCTGTAGAGTGGCGTGGCGTTTTGCAGCTTGCTGTTTTTTCGGTTGACTGCTGTTTAGTAAACCAACAAGGTGGGTGACGTGGCGTGCTCTCCTGCTGCGTGTATGCTGCCTCGTGCCTCCGACGATCTAGTAGGGTCGTCGAGCAAAAAGGTTTTGCTGCTCACGTGTCAGCATCGTTCGTTACCTTCTATGTGGAACTATTTGGTCACTAGCTAATGTGAAAGGTGGGAAGGTTTATTTGATATCTGCGATAAGAGGGGGAAGCCGAGCGCGCACACGTGCAAGGCAGACAGAGCCGGAAACCCTTCCCCGCTTTGCACGCTGCTGCTCGTCTTCCCAACTTTAGTTCGCTGCCACTACTCATCATTTCCATGCCGATTAATCTTAGTCCTAAACCCCACTGCTTCTGACACCTATCTGCCGTCAAGCCGGTCCGCACCGCACCTTCGTTCGCTATCCCCACAGTGACGATCTTCTCTGCCATACCGTTGACCTTCGTTCACCAGCCGTTCCCCTCCTGGTTTTCATCACCAACTGTGTCCGCCATCCGCTGTTGCTCCTCATCCAGTCACCCAGTAGACCACTTTACGCCTCGTGCACCTTACGACCCGCCTGTCAGCCAAGCGCTTTTCGATGCCTCCGTCGTAGAGCCTCCTCGCCGTCGATCCCGCCCTTCATCCTTCCACCAGCACCCGTCTCTCTCATAAGTCTCCTCATAAGCCGTTTCCAATAAAAACCCTTCCCGCCAAACGCCCTTTTCGCCAAAAGCCCTTTTCGCCAGAAATCCGTTTCACTTCACCCCACCCTCATGGCGGCGCCGTCAGGGTCGTGTCCTACCGGCCAGTGGATGAGGTACTTGACGGATTCCGTCGACATTGACGTTGACGGTGACGGTCGGACCGTACTAGAGAATATGCTGGCCGAACAGCAATCCACATGTCAGGAACTTGAGAGGTGAGTGTCATTGCGCTTCAATTCACACTGCAGAGGTGTAACGAGCGACATTGTGACGGCATATCACGTCCTCGCCGCGTCTTTGCCGTGCCGTTTCCTGTCTCCGTCGCTCGCTCAACCAGTCCTCATATCTCTTGTCAGCTCCTCTTCTCCCGTTTCCTCCTGTGCAGGACGTCGAGTCGTGCCAATGAGAGCAGTGCCGCGGATAAAGAGCCGTCGCATTGCAATGAGCCGTCGCAGGACGCCGGAAACCGCACCGGCGTCGCTGCTTCCCACAAACGGCAAGTCACTAGCTTGGCTTTCTTGTTTCCCCTATCCTTCGGGGTCTTTCCGCTTGAATTCTCCCTCACTGGTCCTGAAACTATCCCGTTCCTCTCTTCCCTTATCCTCGTTACTGGCCGATCGCCCTTTTTCCATGCGTGTCTGGCGGACCAACGTAACTGGTTTTTCGTTCTTTTCCTAAGCGTTCTTTCTGCGTCTCGCGCCATCTCGTAACCCATTCCCCGTCTCCTGCCGCATTCCCCGTCTCCCGACTCATTCCCCGTCTCCCGACTCATTCCCCAATGCTCTTGTTTGCCGCGCGGGTGTCGCCAGACCGAGGGAGGATGCGGTCGAGGCGAGCAGCAGCAAGGCCAATCGGGAGAAGATGCGCCGCGACCGACTCAACGACAGGTGCGTGCTTGGTGCTTGGTGCTTGATGGCTGGTGCTTGATGGCTGGTGCTTGGTGCTTGATGACTGGTGCTTGGTGCTTGGTGCTTGATGGCTGGTGCTTGGTGCTTGATGGCTGGTGCTTGGTGCTTGGTGCTTGATGGCTGGTGCTTGGTGCTTGATGGCTGGTGCTTGGTGCTTGGTGCTTGATGGCTGGTGCTTGGTGCTTGGTGCTTGATGGCTGGTGCTTGGTGCTTGGTGCTTGATGGCTGGTGCTTGGTGCGTCAATGAGTGTTTTTTGACAGGCGGGCGACCTCCGTCACCCCGCCGCGGCACAACCTTCCGAGTTCCCCGTGGCAGGTGGGTGGCGGTGCTTATCCTGCGTCACCCGTGCTCTGCGCGGAATCAACCGTCAATACTCCATCACCCCCCTTCCCGTTCTTCGCACTCCCCGCCTGCGCTACCACTCAACGTGCCTGCGACCCCCTCCCGCCACCCTTCTCCCCAATGCGCATGGGACCTACCCCCTTCCGCCACCCTTCCCCCTACCGCGCCTGTTACCGCCCTTCCCGCCACCCTTACCCCTGACGCGCCTGTTGCCTACCCCCTTCCGCAACCCTTCCGCAGGTTCGTGGAGTTGGCGCGGTCTCTGGAGGGGAGCGGACAGGCGCGCGCGGACAGGGGGAGTATTCTGGCGGACGCGGTGCGCGTGCTGGCGCAGCTGCGCGCGGAGACAGCGCAGCTGCGGGGCTCCGCGGAGCAGATGAAGGAGCAGATCCGCGAGCTCAAGGTGCGGTGAGGGGGAATGTGGGGAAAGGGGGAGTTGTTGGGGAAGGGCGGAGGGGAAAAGTTGAAAGGATTACGAGGAATGGAGGCGGAGGCGTTGGAGGGGAAGGAATGGCGTCAAGGTTAGAGCGTGAGGCATTAATTGAAGTTGTTTCATAGAGTTTGATACATTTTGCTCTGTGCCAAACACGTTCTGTGTGTGCAGGCGGAGAAGAGCGAGCTGAGGGAGGAGAAGGCTCGTCTGCAGGCCAACAAGCAGCAGCTGGAGGAGCAGGTCCGCCGCATGGCTGCGTCCGGTGCCGCCCAATCCACCGCCGCCACGTCAGCAGCAGCCCCATCAGCAGCCGGCTCTGGTGCTGCCGGTGCTGTCCCCTTGATGCTGCATCCAGCGTGCGAGCCAGGCAAGGTAGCAGCACTAGGTGCACCCATGGGTTTGATCCCCATACCATTCATGCCTGGTGGGATGGTTCATTCTCATCCTCACCATCACCCCCACCCTCAATCTCAACCTGTGCAAAACTATCCCCTTGGAGGGAACCAGCCTGGTCCTGGTCACATAGCATACTCTGCTCCAACCCATCTTGCTGCTGCTCCTGCTGCTACTTGTGGCACTGCTGGCACTGCTGGCAGTGCTGGGACTGGTGGGACTGTTGCTGCTGCTTCAGGTCCACAGTACATGGCACCTCTGCCTTCCATGATGCCATATGGCATGCCAGGGATGGCGCCTATGGCCATGTGGCAGTGGTTACCGCAGTCTGCTGTTGACTCGTCCAATGACCAGATGCTCAGGCCGCCAGTGGCATGATTTGTCTTGTTGTGAAGTGAGGCTTTTCAGCGACACAGGTTTATTTTGCATGTTATTGTTGTAACTGATCTGATTGCTTATCGTTCCAAGAAAGCATCCAGAAATGGTTCCTGTGGCATTGTGGTGGTTGGTAGTGCTTGCTGCAGCCAGGTGCTCATTGTAAACCTGACGCTGTGGGAAGAAAGCAACCAGATACGGTATTGAAAGACTAGATAAATTCGATAGAACTAACAGGTTTTATTCTACAAAGGCGAGTAGCTACGCTACACGTTCATCGCACCCCTAGCACCGGGCCCGGACTTTCCGCGAATCCGCGATACAAGCCCCCTCCACTCACATACTGGTGTAGGGGCCTAGCAATGGCATTCTCAATCGCTGCCAACTCAAGAGTTTGAAGCGTCGAGCCCTCGGGATTCCTTCCTCGTCTTTCTCCGCTCTTCAGTTCCCGAGATTCCTTCATTCTCTTTCTCCGCTCTTGGCTCCAAGACGTTTCACTCACGATACATACCGCTTTTCACTGTGAGAAATTTACCTGGGTTCGCCGTCGAACCTCGTCTCGGTTCGGCTCGCTGTCCCAAGACCAGGGAGTTCCAAGGCACGAGGTTCCACAGCACGAGGTTGCTGCGAGCAGTCTTTTCGCGGGATTCGTGTTTTCGCCGGTTGTGTTTCTTGCGACATTTTACGAAGGCAGGAAGGAATCGGATTCATCTCAGGGTGATTGACGAATCGATTCTTGGAAGTCGAATGGCTGGAGACGACGGGGCGGAAGGGCGGCAGCAGGCGGAAGGCGGATCCGCGCACAGCCACGAGCATGCCGCGCCCGCGCCCGCGCACTCGCACGCGCATTCGCATTCGCACGACGCCCACCACCACCATCACCACCACGACCACCACGACCACCGTCATCCTGCAACGTCAGTGTTTCTTGAGCGCAATCTGATGTTACCGTGTTTTGCGCATCGCTTTGGCCGCCAATCGTTGACGCGTGTCCAGGCACATCGGTAGGCTAGCTTGCATTCCCCCATTTCCTCGTTTCCTCGTCTTGACGTTCACTCTAATTCTTGTCCAATCCAGCGGCGACACGTCAGCACCGTCCGACGAGTTCCGCGGCGCGGACGGGCGCGTGTACCACTCGCACGACGGGCTCGCCCCGCACTCGCACGAGCCGCTCGACAGCGCGGGGAGCTTCGCGCTGCGCGCGCCGCCCTTGCCGAACCGCGACTTGGCGGAGCGCGCGTTTACCGTTGGAATCGGCGGGCCCGTCGGATCAGGGTATGCGGGGGGAGGGAGAGAGGAAGAGGGGGGGGGGGGAGGAAAAAGATGAGAGAAAGGCAGGGAGGGAGGAAGGGAAGGGGAATGGGCGCCAAATGATGTGAAGGAGTGGCGGAAGGGATGTGGCGGGGGGGATCAGATCAGAAGGGGTGCATTCCGCGCGACTCGTGGGAGGGAAGGGAACGGAAAGCATGGGAAAGGGCAAGGAGCGGTGCTTGGCAAGCAAGCAGCGTGCAGTGTGGCTTTTGAGGCGCCTCACAAGCAGCGTGCAGTGTGGCTTTTGAGGCGCCTCACAAGCAGCATGAAGTGTGGCTTTTGAGGCGCCTCACAAGCAGCGTGCAGTGTGGCTTTTGAGGTGCCTCACAAGCAGCGTGCAGTGTGGCTTTTGAGGCGCCTCACGAGCAGCGTGCAGTGTGGCTTTTGAGGCGCCTCACAAGCAGCGTGCAGTGTGGCTTTTGAGGCGCTTCACAAGCAGCGTGCAGTGTGGCTTTTGAGGCGCCTCACAAGCAGCGTGCAGTGTGGCTTTTGAGGCGCCTCACAAGCAGCGTGCAGTGTGGCTTTTGAGGCGCCTCACAAGCAGCGTGCAGTGTGGCTTTTGAGGCGCCTCACAAGCAGCGTGCAGTGTGGCTTTTGAGGCGCCTCACAAGCAGCGTGCAGAGCAGCGTGCAGTGTGGCTTTTGAGGCGCCTCACAAGCAGCGTGCAGTGTGGCTTTTGAGGCGCCTCACAAGCAGCGTGCAGTGTGGCTGTGCTTATTGGGAATCCATTTTGTTGAGGCGTCTTCTCAACAACAGGCCCCGGCTGTGGGGAAAGAATGAGGCATTGTCCAAGCAATGCAGTTGCGGCAGTCAGGAGCTCGTCAGGTGCTCGTCAGGTGTTCTGTCAGGTGTTCTGTCAGGTGCTCTGTCAGGTGCTCGTCAGCAGACACCAACCAATGACATCGTCACAACCACTCACCTCTCCCACACCCTCATTTTCCCACCATCCCCCCAACCACCCATTACCCAGAACCTTGGTCAGGAAACATGGCACTCATGCTGCCTCTGTGCCGCACGCCAAGGGACAGGTACGGCCTGAGAGGCAGCAAGCACCAACCATTGGCATTCTCACAACCACCCACCTCTCACCCACCCTCATTCCCCCACCCATTCCCCCACCCATTCCCCACAACCATTCCCCCACCCATTCCCCACAACCATCTGGCAGAAACACTCATGCCAGCTCTGTGCCGCACGCGAAGGGACGAGTACGGCCTGAGAGGCAGCAAGCACCAACCATCAGCAGTCTCACACCTGCTCACTAGTTCACTCTTTCTTGAAATTTCCCTGTCCCCCCCTTTCACCCATTACCTCATTCTGTCCCCCCCCTTTCACCCATTACCTCATTCTCTGCCGCACACTCAGAGAGCAGCACAGCCTGGCAGCCGTCACCAACGACATCTTCACATCAACCACCCATTCCGCCCCTATGCTCCCCCATTCCCCCGTCCACTCACATGAAAACGGCCCTAATGTTGGCCCTCTGCCGCACGCTGAGAGAGCAGCACAGCCTGGCAGCCGTCACCAACGACATCTTCACAACCACTCATATTCCTCCCGTCCCGCACACCCATTGTCCAATCCACCACAGAAATACTGCTCTCATGCTGGCCCTGTGTCGCACGGTGAGAGAGCAGCACAGCCTGGTCTGGCAGCGGTTACCAACGACATCTTCACGCAGGAGGACGGCGAGTTCCTCTCATGCGCTCTGCTTCTCCCCTCCTTCCCTCCCGCATGCACTCCACTCCACGTTGACAACCCTCATTACTCTCTTGCAGGAAAACGGCCCTAATGTTGGCTCTCTGCCGCACACTCAAGGACCAGTACAGCCTGGCAGCTGTTACCAACGACATCTTCACATCAACCGCTCATATCACCTCCGCTCCCATTCCCCCGTTCCCTCATTCACCCCCAACCATTTTGCAGAAAGACTGCTCTCATGCTGGCCCTGTGTCACACACTCAACGACCAGTACAGCCTGGTCTGGCAGCGGTTACCAACGACATCTTCATGCAAGAGGACGGCGAGTTCCCCTCATGCGCTCCTCTGCTCCCCTCCTTCCCTCCCACGGCTAGCTCCCTCCTTTCCTCTGCACCTCCCTTCTTTGCTCTGCATCTTCACACCGCCTCATTCCCCCATTCAACCCCAACCCATCCATCGTGTAGCAGAACGGCCCTCATGCTGGCTCTGTGCCGCACACTAAGGGACAGCAAGACTGCTCTCATGCTGGCTCTGTGCCGCACACTAAGGGACAGCAAGACTGCTCTCATGCTGGCTCTGTGCCGCACACTAAGGGACAGCAAGACTGCTCTCATGCTGGCTCTGTGCCGCACACTAAGGGACAGCAAGACTGCTCTCGTGCTGGCTCTGTGCCGCACACTAAGGGACAGCAAGACTGCTCTCGTGCTGGCTCTGTGCCGCACACTAAGGGACAGCAAGACTGCTCTCGTGCTGGCTCTGTGCCGCACACTAAGGGACAGCAAGACTGCTCTCATGCTGGCTCTGTGCCGCACACTAAGGGACAGCAAGACTGCTCTCATGCTGGCTCTGTGCCGCACACTAAGGGACAGCAAGACTGCTCTCGTGCTGGCTCTGTGCCGCACACTAAGGGACAGCAAGACTGCTCTCATGCTGGCTCTGTGCCGCACACTAAGGGACAGCAAGACTGCTCTCGTGCTGGCTCTGTGCCGCACACTAAGGGACAGCAAGACTGCTCTCGTGCTGGCTCTGTGCCGCACACTAAGGGACAGCAAGACTGCTCTCATGCTGGCTCTGTGCCGCACACTAAGGGACAGCAAGACTGCTCTCATGCTGGCTCTGTGCCGCACACTAAGGGACAGCAAGACTGCTCTCGTGCTGGCTCTGTGCCGCACACTAAGGGACAGCAAGACTGCTCTCATGCTGGCTCTGTGCCGCACACTAAGGGACAGCAAGACTGCTCTCGTGCTGGCTCTGTGCCGCACACTAAGGGACAGCAAGACTGCTCTCGTGCTGGCTCTGTGCCGCACACTAAGGGCGTATCCAGGTTCGGGTCATCAGCACTGTTCCAGGCATCCGCAATTTGCGGATGCCCCGAACTACATAAAACACCACTTTGGGCCATCGATCATCGTGCGACCCTCAAAAAGGCGCGTTTGTTGTCCCGCCAAAAAACCAGAGCCAAAAGTTGCTCCAACCAATAGGTGCGCCCGCCTTCATGCCATGCGATCCCTTTCACCCGGTTGCGCGACACTCACCCCACCAACCCATCCGTCAAAATTCCCAGCGGTAATGGAACATTTGGATCTGCCCGCCTCCGAAACCCATCCCAACCACCTATGATGCGAAAGACGCTCAGAGGACGCTGCGTCCTGCGTCTGGACGCAGCGTCTGGACGCTAGGACGCAAGACGCGCGTCCAGACGCAGGACGCACATCGAATTTTTTTCGGGCTGCCCCGATTTTTTTTTTTTCCAGATTACGAATTTCAATCTTGCGATTTCGACGCGATACGATACGATAAACTATGTATGTATGTGACCTTGGGACATGTGTGTGTGACAATACGTGACTCACCTTAATCTTGAGATTTGGGGGAAAATTTGATGTTGGGGCCAAGTTTGCCTTGAAAGTGTGGAACGTTCCCCCCCCCCCCCCCCCCCCCCTCATCCCATGCCCTATAACAAGTTTTTTTGCCTGCCCGGGGGTTTTTTTTTGCCTGCCCGGGACTGCGTCTTTTGGTGCGTCTTTCTGGTCCTGGTGAAGCGTCCTGCGTCCGGACGCATGCGTCTGGACGCATGCGTCCAGGACGCAGGACGCGTCTTTCGCATCATAGCCAACCACACAGTCTCACCCAAGGGTTTCACAAAACGGCAGAAACAGAATTGTGCTACACGCAGGGATGGTGTTGGTGAAATTGCCGGGCGTGAATGCTGTAGGTCGTCCGTCAAAAGAGGGGGACCCAACATGGGGTCGCACTTGTTTCTGATTGGTGGGGGTCACATTGGGAGTGACGGTCGCATGCAGGTTGCAGGATGACCCAAAGTTCAAGCCGCGCGCGGTTCCGGTGTTGAGTTCGGGGCATGCGTGATTTGCGGATGCCCCAAACAGTTGAATGAACAGTGCTGATGACCCGAAGCTGGATACGCCCTAAGGGACAGCAAGACTGCTCTCGTGCTGGCTCTGTGCCGCACACTAAGGGACAGCAAGACTGCTCTCGTGCTGGCTCTGTGCCGCACACTAAGGGACAGCAAGACTGCTCTCATGCTGGCTCTGTGCCGCACACTAAGGGACAGCAAGACTGCTCTCATGCTGGCTCTGTGCCGCACACTAAGGGACAGCAAGACTGCTCTCGTGCTGGCTCTGTGCCGCACACTAAGGGACAGCAAGACTGCTCTCATGCTGGCTCTGTGCCGCACACTAAGGGACAGCAAGACTGCTCTCGTGCTGGCTCTGTGCCGCACACTAAGGGACAGCAAGACTGCTCTCATGCTGGCTCTGTGCCGCACACTAAGGGACAGCAAGACATCTTCAACATCAACCACCCATTCCGCCCCTGTGCTCCCATTCCTCCGTCCACCCACAGCAAGACTGCTCTCATGCTGGCTCTCTGCCGCACACTACGAGACAAGTACAGCCTGGCAGCGGTCACCAACGACATCTTCACGCAGGAGGACGGCGAGTTCCTGATCAAGCACGCCGCCCTCTCGCCGCCCGGCCGCATCCGGGCGGTGGAGACGGGCGGCTGTCCGCACGCCGCCATCCGGGAGGACATCAGCATCAACCTGGGGCCGCTGGAGGAGCTTTCCTCTGAGTTTAAGGCGGATATGCTGCTGTGCGAGTCAGGCGGAGGTGAGTAACGATGAATGTGGAAGGGGTGTTTGCATGCAGTGAGTGTGACAAACGGTCTCCTCTCAGGTTTGCACGCTGCCATGCGGGAGGACATTAGCATCAACCGGGGATCGTTGGAGGAGCGAGCGTCCTACTGAGTTTAATGTTAATGCTAATGTTAACGTCCTCAGGTTGATGTGAAAGGCCAGCCGGCGGGCATGCTGCTGTGCTGTGCGAGTGAGGAGGAGGTGAGTGAGTGAGACGATGGTCTACTCTCATTCCATGTTTGCATGCCACTGCCTGCACGCCGCCACCCGGGAGGATATTCGCTTCAGCCTGGGGGACTAGTGGAGGAGTTGTCAGCGCACTTCGATCTGAACATGCTGCTGTGTGAATCAATCAGGGGGAGGTGAGTGAGAGGAAGGGTGCCAGCCATGGTTGCATGTGAGTGAGAGGAAGGGTGCCAGCCATGGTTGCATGTGAGTGAGAGGAAGGGTGCCAGCCATGGTTGCATGTGAGTGAGAGGAAGGGTGCCAGCCATGGTTGCATGTGAGTGAGAGGAAGGGTGCCAGCCATGGTTGCATGTGAGTGAGAGGAAAGGTGCCAGCCATGGTTGCATGTGAGTGACTTTCTGCATGCCGCCATCGGGGAAGTCATGAGCATCAAAATAGGTCTGTTAGAGGGACTTTGTACTCAGTTTAAGGCTGATATGCTGCTGTGCTAATCAAGAGGAGGTGAGTGACTGACTGACTGTGATCGCGGAAGGCCGTTTGGCATGTTGCCATGCCATCAGAAGGGCAGGAGCAGCAAGGTGGGAGTTGCTGGAGCACCAAGATGGGAGTTGCTGGAGCACCAAGGTGGGGGTTGCTGGAGCACCAAGGTGGGGATTGCTGGAGAAGCTGTCAGCAACGCAGTTTAACTGCTTTGAGACGCCTCAAACGTTGACTGCTCCCATCAACCCCGTATGCCTATTGTCGGTTCACCATATGTCTTCCCTCTGTTGCCTACCCCTCGGCCCTGCTCCCATCCGGAGAGGGAATCAGCCCCCTAGCAGGCGATTCCAACCAGGAAGGGACTTGCAGCAGACCTGCCCCAACTTTCTCCCCTGTTCACCTTCCTCGCAGACAACCTAGCGGCCAACTTCAGCCGAGAGCTAGCAGACTACATCATCTATATCATCGATGTGTCGGGCGGCGACAAAATCCCCAGGAAGGGCGGCCCGGGAATCACCCAGGCAGACCTGCTGGTGAGAGAAAAGGGGGGTGAGAGGCGGGGACGATGGGGTTGGTCCCAGGGACATGAGCTTAAGTGTGCGGTGGGTGGGGTGGGGGGGATAAGATCCCCAAGAAGGGCGGCCCGGAAATCACCCAGGCAGACTTGCTGGTGAGAGGAAAGGGGGGTGAGAGGAAAGGGGGGTGAGAGGAAAGGGGGGTGAGAGGAAAGGGGGTTGGGTGAGAGGCGGGGACGATGGGCGTGGTCCCAGGGACATGAGCTTAAAACCAGGGTCTCACGTAGATCATTTGTTTTGCAGTTGATGGGAAACCCCCGTTTCCCATTGGTTGACAAGCCCTAAGAAACGAAAAGGGGTGCAGCGAGGGATTCGAAGGGTACTAAATCGTTTGCTGTGTTCTAAACTTTCTAGGTATGGAAACAGGTTCGGATCCGAAGCTACAGTGCCAGTGAAATGTCAAGAGTTGTCGAAAGTCTCATGTACCTGAAATTTGTTTTGCAATTGGTGCTGAGGCAAAAGAGGGGGAGTGTCGCACGCCAACTTCCCAAGCCAACCAGTTCAACTCGCCTACAAAAACAAGGTAACTCAAGTCTCAAATGTTTTGCAATTGATGGCGAAATCTCTCTTACACGAGACCGTGGCTTTAAGTGTGCGGTGGGTGGGGTGGGGGGGTAAGATCCCCAGGAAGGGCGGGCCAGGGATCACCCAGGCAGACCTGCTGGTGAGGTGAGGTGGTTGTTGCATGATGCTGTGTCATGGGATTGCCCTGCTAGCCTGCCATGGGATTGCCCTGCTAGCCTGCCATGGGATTGCCCTGCTAGCCTGCCATGGGATTGCCCTGCTAGCCTGCCATGGGATTGCCCTGCTAGCCTGCCATGGGATTGCCCTGCTAGCCTGCCTGCCATGGGATTGCCCTGCTAGCCTGCCATGGGATTGCCCTGCTAGCCTGCCATGGGATTGCCCTGCTAGCCTGCCATGGGATTGCCCTGCTAGCCTGCCATGGGATTGCCCTGCTGCCATGGATTGCCCTGCTAGCCTGCCATGGGATTGCCCTGCTAGCCTGCCATGGGATTGCCCTGCTAGCCTGCCATGGGATTGCCCTGCTAGCCTGCCATGGGATTGCCCTGCTAGCCTGCCAGGTGCTAGCCTGCCAGGTGCTAGCCTGCCAGGTGCTAGCCTGCCAGGTGCTGTGGGGATGTGAGGGGGAGTAACCTCTTGAGGAGGGAGTGCAGTGTGTGTTGGCGAGGGGTAGCAGACTACATCATCTACATCATTGACGTGCCGGGCGGCGATACGATCCCCAGGAAGGGCGGCCCTGGCATCACCCAGGCAGACCTGCTGGTGAGAGAAAAGGGGGGTGAGAGGAAAGGGTGAGAGGAAAAGGGGATGTTGGGGAGGACAATGGGTGTGGTCCCAGGGACATGAGCTTACGGGGGGGGGGGGGGGAGTGAGAGCGTGGGGTGTAGATTTGGTGAAAATTACAAGGCGGTTTGACCCCGACCCTCTTTATAGATTTGTGCTGAACCCCCCTCTCTGGTCCCGTAGCTGCAGGGGCCAGGGGTCCTCTCTGGTTCCTCCGCACCCCTCCTTTTCCTTGTCTCCCTTCCTCTTCAAACCCCCTTCTCCCCCGCCCTCTCCCCATTTCCCCCCGTTTCCTTGTCTCCCTTCCTGCTCTGTGCTCTCTGCTGCGTGCATTCTTCCATGCTGACGTGGCATCATCAGGTGGTGAACAAGACTGACCTGGCGCCGGCGATCGGTGCTGACCTGGCGGTCATGGAAGCGGACGCGCTGCGCATGCGGGATGGGGGGCCCTTGGTGTTTGCACAGGTGGGTGAAGTGAATGGGGGAGAGGGGAATGGAGGGACACCTGTGGAGCTCCATTCCCCACAGATATGTTAGCAAATGTGTTTGCAAATGTGCCTGCAAACACCAGAGGGGCGCGTATGTTGCCAGAGTGGTGGATGCTGGTGGGATGATGGGAAGGCGGGTCGCTGGTGTTTGTGCAGGCGGGTGAATGGGGGAAAGGGGGATAGAGGGACACCTGTGGTGCTCCATTCCCCACAGGTATGTTAGCAATTGTGCTTGCAAATGTGTTTGCAAACACCAGAGCGGCGCGTATGTTGCCAGAGCTGTGGATGCTGGTGGGATGCTGTGATGGCGGCCCATTGGTGTTTGTGCAGGTGGGTGAATGGGGGAGAGGGGAATGGAGGGACAGAGGGGCGCGTATGTTGCCAGAGGGGCGCGTATGTTGCCAGAGGGGCGCGTATGTTGCCAGAGGGGCGCGTATGTTGCCAGAGCTGTGGATGCTGGGAAGGCGGGCCGCTGGTGTTCGTGCAGGTGGGTAGCGAGGTAGAGGAGGATAGGAGGATATATAACAGTGCTGGTTTCCATGCTGCCAGCGTTTTCAGAGACAGTTAGGACCATGTGTTCACAGCATGAGTGGTGCCCTACATGTGCCCGTGCATCCCATCCGTTCTATGGGGTATATGTGCCAGCCATATGTGCTCACAGCATGGAGTGCCAGCCATATGTGCTCACAGTATGGAGTGCCAGCCATATGTGCTCACAGTATGGAGTGCGCTCTGCATTGATGCATCGCATGCCTCTTCCCGTGCGTGCACCTATCCCATCCCTCAATGCAGGTGAAGCATGGAGTGAACTTTTGAGGCGCCTCAAAACTCCTCCCGTGCGTGCACCTATCCCATCCCTCAATGCAGGTGAAGCACGGAATGGGGGTACCAGCTATAGTGGACTATGTGATCACAGCATGGGGTGCCGCTCTCACAGCATGGGGTGCCGCTCTCATTGCATGCATGAAAATATACCATCCCCATGCATCCCTCCCATTCATCCGCCCATCCTACTTTGCGGGCTCCCATCCCTCCCCTCAATGCAGGTGAAGCACGGAGTGGGGGTACCAGCAATAGAGGACCATGTGCTCACAGCATGGAGGGCTCACAGCATGGAAAGCTCACAGCATGGAGGGCTCACAGCATGGAGGGCTCACATGATCACATCCGTGCCTGCATGCCCTAATACATCCCATCCATCCTCCTGCCCGTCCCACCCCTCCACCCATCCCATCTTTCAATGCAGGTAAAGCATGGGGTGGGGGTACCAGCCATAGAGGACCATGTGCTCACAGTATGGACAGCTCATCCCCATAAATGTTGTCATTCATCCCATTCTTGCATGCGCCATCCTCGCAGGTGAAGCACGGGGTGGGGGTACCAGCCATAGTGGACCATGTGCTCACAGCGTGGTGTGCCGCCACAAGCCAGCCCAGGAGGTGACGGGCATCATGCTCCCTGTTACAGTTACAGTCACAATTACAGTCAGTCGTAGTTACACGCATGGTTACGGTAGTCTCGGTTACAGTCTACAGCCCTGGCCTTAGTGGACCATGTGGTCACAGCATGGAGTGCCGCCACAGTCCAGCCCAGGAGGTAACAAGACACGTGCATCCTGTTACAGTCACGGTTACAATCAGGTGCTCACAGCGTGGTGTGCCATCCTCGCAGGTGAAGCACGGGGTGGGGGTACCAGCCATAGTGGACCATGTGCTCACAGCGTGGTGTGCCGCCACAGGCCAGCCCAGGAGGTGACGGGCAACATGCTCCCTGTTACAGTTACAGTCACAATTACAGTCAGTCGTAGATCCACGCAAGGTAACAGTAGTCACGGTTACAGTCTATAGCCCTGGCCTTAGTGGACCATGTGCTCACAGCGTGGAGTGCCGCCACTGGCCAGCCCAGAAGGTAATACTGTCCTCTCCCTGGCACACTTCCTGTTACGGTACATTCACTGTCACCATGAAGGTAATGATATTGGTCGTGTTTGTAATCAAAGCCATGGGTTTAAATAGATGGTTGGCATCTTTCGGCTTGGCTCTATTATGTGTAAGCCTTTTCGCTGGACGATTTATGATAGGCGCATGTTGTATTAATAAGAGATGAAGTGTGATTATTGGTTCCTCTTAGGGCTTGTACGTTCATTTGTATCCGAGCCTGGATTCATGCATGAAATCTATAACGAGGACAACTCGAGAGTTTCCCTGAGTGAATCAGGCACTGATTCTGCCGCGTGCCAATCCCAAAGCACAGCATACCAGCCTTTAACGGTGCCGATGCGCGCTCACGTTCTTCAGCTCGACGGTACCGTAGATGAGTCCAGCCTTGGCTTCCAACATCGATGGTGGTGTGTCGTGTAACGTGTTGTGTGACATTTGCGGACCAATCAACCAACACCTATGTGACACGCCCCTCTTGAGTGTCATTCACCATTCACCGTTCATGATTCACCAACCCTAAACGTCGTGATTCAGAATTCTCGATTCAGAAGATTCAGGACAGGAATCAGGATTCACGAACCAGACCACACCACGCCGACCCGTACTTCACGTGTATATTTTCATTTCGACTTGAGTGAACACCGCAAATCACGCCAGAAACCACGCCACAAATCACGCCTCCAAAGACGTGAAGAGCTGACTGGCAAACTCGTCGTTGCCACGCGGCTGTAGTCTAGTTTAAACATCGCGGCACGGTGCTGACCTGCAGGCCGCATTCTCGCGTCGGAACCCAATCTTAAACAGTTCAGATGGCAGCAGCGTCGTCAGGGACTCTAAACGGCCTGTCGAATGGCGGCGCCAGCCACGCCGCCATTCGCGGCCCACGCTTCGGCACCTACAACCGACGTGGCACGTCTGTCTCCACCGCGTCGCGTGCGACACTGATGAGATTTCGAGCCGCTGGCGACACGTGGCAATCGGCCACCGCGCGACAATGCGGGTGGTCCAGCGGGGAGATTGGGGGAGGATGGGGAAACGGCGGGATTGCCGGAGGATTGCGCAGGCGCGCGGAACGGAAAGGGGGAGTATCTGCAGCGGTAGGGGTTGCCGGTGGGGGGGGAGTGGTTGTTGTAGCGGCGGCGGGAGCGGAGCAGTCGCCTTATGACGTGCTGGGAGTGGCTCGAGGCGCGTCTCAGAAGGAGATTAAGTCCGCGTTCCGGCGGCTGGCCCTTAAGTACCACCCCGACGTGAATAAAGCGGTGAGACACTCTCGAGAATTGTGAAAAGGGTTAGGGATTGTGAACGCATCGCCTACTGTGACGTGAAAAAGGCGATGGTAAATTTGTTTTCTCAAAAGTCAAGAATTGTGAAATAGGTTTGAGATTGTGAACGCATCGCTTTGCGCTTCTTTCCTCACCTCGCTCTTCTTCCCTCACCTCTCCCACCCTCCGCACAGTCGCTTTGGTGTTTCGCTTTGGTGTTTGTTGATTTGAGACAGCAGCAAGCACGAGACTGAAACGTTGCTCTCCTCATCCTCCTCCTCCTCCTCCTCCTCCTCCTCCTCCTCCTCCTCCTCCTCCTCCTCCTCCTCCTCCTCCTCCTCCTCCTCCTCCTCCTCCCCCCCGTCCTCCTCCTTCCCCCCCTCCTCCCCCCCCCTATAGCCCGACGCTCAGGAGCGTTTTGTGCGCATAAAGCAGGCGTATCAGACGCTCACAGACCCCGATGCTGCTGCCAACGCCAAGGCGCGCGCAGCCTCGCAGCGGCAGCAGCAGCAGTGGGCGCGGAGCAGCAGCAGCACCAGGGCGAGGGGGGGTTATGGTGCGCAGTGGGACGCGGATTTCAGTGGCCCGTTTGACCCGTTTGATGCGTGGAAAGGACTAAAGAACAAGCCAGATGACTTCTACAGCCTTGGTGAGCATATGGCTTGGTTCAGGTCAGGAGGTCTATGGGAGGGTATGGGCATTGGGAGGGTATGGGGCATTGGGAGGGTATGGGGCATTGGGAGGGTATGGGGCATTGGGAGGGTATGGGGCATTGGGAGGGTATGGGGCATTGGGAGGGTATGGGGCATTGGGAGGGTATGGGGCGAGAGCGGGGTATGGGGCGCTGTAGGACGCTGATTTCAGTGGTCCGTTTGACGCGTTGAAAGGACCAAAGAACAAGCGGGATGACTTTTACAGCCTCGGTGAGTGTGGCTAGGCTTGGCTTGGCTTGTTCAGTCGGGAGCAGGTATGGTGCGCGTGGAGGGGAAGGGAGGGGCGCAGTGGGATGCTGATTTCAGCGGTCCGTTTGATCCGTTTGAAGCATGGAAAGGGCCAAAGAACAAGCCACATGAAATTTACGGCATCGGTTGGTGTGACTTGGGTTGGCCTGGACAGTAGGGTCGCAGAGGATAATGGGAACAGCAGGGCAGAGGGACAGTAGGCGGTGACGTTATCTCCCCCATTGGCCCATTTGATGCATGGGAGGAATGGGTCGGCTAACAAGCCAGATGACTTTTCCAGTCTTGGTGAGTGTGAGGGTTAGCTTGGACAGTGCGGGGAGAGTGTGGGTCGCAGTGGGATGGTGATTTTGGGGCTGTCTCTGCTGCATGGAAGGGACCTGCGAACAAGGCAGATGCCTTTTACAGGTTCGGTGAGTGCAGTGGTGGGCGGGTGGGGTGGACGGTGCGAGAGTTGTTGCAGTGGGGCAGTGGGGCACTTCCTTTCTCTTGACGTCCCTCAAGGGCCCTGGGAAGAAGTTTGAGGAGGAGCAGGAGGAGCAGGGGAACTACCGCATCGACTGAAAATGCATCTCTGCCCGCCATGCCCGTGCTTCTCTTCCCTGTGTCCCCCAACCCCTGTGTGCGGGCAGAGGATTGCTCCAAGGATCTTCAGAAGGCCTTTGAAGCAAAAGGAGCAGTTCTATGCCGACTCAAAGTGCATCCCCCTTTCCCACTCACCCCTCTCCCCACTCACCCCTCTCCCCCATGCCAGCGTGCCTGCCCCCTGCACAGTGCAGACGATTTCTTCAAGGGTTTTCAAAAAGGCTTTGAGGAGAAGCACAAGGAGCTAATTTGAGTCAACTCAAGAATCATCTTTGTTTTCTGCCCCGTGTCCCGTGTCTCTTGCCCTGTGCCCCATGTCTCATGGCCACTGCCCTGCATGCGCGCAGACGATTTCTTCAAGGATCTTCAGAAGGACTTTGAGGAGAAGCAGAAGGAGCGCGGCACCGGCAAGCCCAAGAGTCTGTGGGAGGAGCTGGCGGTGAGTGTTGCAGGGGATGGTGGCTTGGGGGTTTTGGGAATTGGGGCGGTGTGGGTTGGTTGGGATTAGACCTGTGTGAGTGCATTGAGGGGTGGAGAAGCAGAAGGAGCAGGGGGGCAAGCTCAAGAGCCTGTGGGAGGAGCTGGCGTTGAGTGGAAGAAGCTGTGGATGGTTATGGAGCAGTGTGGATTGGTTGGGGTGAGACATGTGTGAGTGCAGGGAGGGGTGGAGAAGCAGGGGAGCAGGGGGACCATTCGAAACCCTGTGGGAGGAGCTTGTGCGCTATTGCATTCCTGCCTATCATTCAGTGCTCATATTACATTTCTCACAAAAAAAAAAAAAAAAAAAAAAAACAACAACAACAACAACAACTTTTATGCTCCATATTGCATTCCCCGTTAACAGGACCTTGGAGAGGACTTGGTGGATTTTCTGGAGAAGAATGTCCCGGAGCAGCAAGAGAAGCCCAACTATAGCAAAGAGTATTTCTACTCTGGAGCCAGCAGCAGACCCGATGGCAGCAGCAGTGGCCCCAGCAGCAGCAGCAGCAGCAGCAGCAGCAGCAGCAACAACAGCAGCAACAGTGGCAGCAGCAGGGGCGGGAACAGCGGAAGCAGCAGCGGCAGTGCTAGCACAAACAGCAGAGGCAGCAGCAGCCAGAGCAGCAGTGGCAGTGGCAGCAGTGGGTACGGGTCATCCTCCTACTCGTCTGGCTCATCTGCGAATAGAGCGCAGCAGAGCACGTGGGAGGAGAGGATTAAGAAGGAGAAGGAGAAGGAGATTGATGATGAGCTGCAGAAGCTGAAGCGCGAGATGGGGCTGTGATATGTCAGATTGCCAGTGAATCTGGAATATACTTCTGAGTTTTACCGGTTGATAGAGCGCAGCAGAGCGTGTGGAGGAGAGGATATAGAAGGGGAAGGAGAAGGAGATCAAGACGAGCTGCAGAAGCTGAAGCAGGAGATAGGGTTGTGATGGGCCTGTGGTGTGGGTGTGATGTGACTGGCGGTTTTTAGAGCACTTTTTTTAATCGACTCATCAGTCGAGCCCAGCATATTTCGTGGGAAGGAGAGGATGAGGAGGGAGGAGGAGACTGATGATGAGCTGCAGAAGCTGAAGCGGGAGATAGGGAACTGAATGGATGAATCTGGGATGGAGCGTCAACTGCCATATCTATATACCTGAAGTGTGGCTTATGCACTATGAGTTGCTGAAAGGGGGAATGGGGTTGTGATGTTTTTATACATTTCAAGAAATGGCATTCAGCTCAACAGATGTGAGCTGATTTACAAATGTGGTTGATAAACTACTAGTTAAATGCTAAACTGAGGGCCCCCTGATTGGGGTGAAGGTTTTCTTGATGAACCAGCTTCAGTATGAAGAACAAAATGTATATAAATAATTTACAAGACCAGGTTCTAGAGGCAAGCCATTCAGTGGCAGTCTAGTTACTCTGGTCCAGCCACAGCTGCTACTACAAAATGTAACCATCTAATCTAAGAGTCACCCGGCTGCTAGAGCCAGTGATTCTCCGTTTGGCTCCAAACCTGCCGATGCCAACGGAGATGCCTGATGCTCTCAATGCTCATCCATATACAGCTGATTCATGTAGCACATCGTTCCTGTCCCAAGGGTCCTGAAACTTTGCTTGCTACTGCCATGCTCCTCCTCTTCCTCCCCGTCATCACACCCAAACAGCTGGTTTGAGGCAATCCGTCCCTCCTCCACCTTCCCAAACCCCTTCACCTCCATGCTCCAGTCCTTACCATTGCAGGAAAGGCCCTTCCCGATCGCACTCTTCACTGTTTTTTTCCTCAGCTGCCACGAGATCAGTGAAATGGTAAGCAGTGGACAGAGAGTGTCCTTTCCCACTGCTGGAACCGCCTCGGCCAATCCCCCTCTTCACACCAGCTACCTCCTTCGTCAAGCCAGTGGGGCTGCTGCAGAGGCTGTGAGCGGAGGAGGAGCAGGAGGAGGAGTCCGAGGAGAGGTGGATGAGACACGCACTGCAGCTGCTGCAGCTGCTCTCACTGCGACTCAAGCTGCACCACCCGCTGCTCGCCTTTGCTCCCTCCTTCCCACCCTGCTGTGCCTCTGATTCCGCCTTCCCACCCTGCTCTGATCCGCCTTTCACACCCAACCAGGCCGCAACCTTGGCTGAGGAAGCATCAATCTTGGAAACTGAGTCAACTGAGCAGGTACGTGAGGCAACAGAGTCCTCTTGAGCAAGCAGCTCTAGGAATGAATAAGCTTTCCTCTTCGGTTCCTTCGGTTCCTCTGCCTTTTCTACTTCCTCTGCGTTCTCAGTTTCCTCTGCTTCCTCAGCCTGACTCGAAACGGCAGCAGTCACACTTGGAGCATCCACAGTCACAGCAACAGCCACAGCAGCGGTTTCTACCTCTGCATCTGTTGACGCAGCTTCTTCCAGAAGAGCGATAACAGGGAGAACGGGAACCGACAGCACCTCCACTGCTGCTTGCTCGCACGGCCTGATCCAGCTGGAGACGGCCTGCACGAGAAAAACGAGATAAGGTTAGTTGCTGCCTAAGGAGAAGAGTCATGAAATTACCAGCAAACAGATGGTGAATAACTTATGAACAAAACATTGCTGGTACAGAGGACGAGGGCTTGCGAGAGCTGCAGGGAATGGCTAGGAGGAAGTGGTTCTTACCAGGCGTGGAGCTGCGATCATGCTGCAGACGAAGCGAGTGAGGGAGTCGTTTTGCTCCCAGCAGCTCGCGAACAGCGCGTCGACGTCCATGCAGGCGTTTTCAGCACCGATGCAGGCCATGTTGTTGACGGACGAAGAGTTAGAAGGTTACGGCTAAGCTTTCGCGACGAGTTTGCAGAGTATACTGAGCACTTGAGCAGACTTCTACAGCTGGTAGCGAAGGGAGCACAAGGTAGGACGATTAACAAGTAGCTTTAGTCGAGACTGATGAACGATATAGAAACTCCGGCGACGTATTTGTAGTGTTTCTGTATGGTGGGTGCAGCAACTTCGATATGCGTCGGGTGAGTAGCGAGTGAGAGCGAGCGAGCGGGGAATGCGACGAGAGGGGTGGCAGAGGGAGCGAGCAAGCAGGGGAACCCGCCGACATGTTCGCTGCTGTGGCATGGGCTTGGGAGGCGACGACGTAGGCTGGCCTTGGGGGAATCGGGGTGTCGCACGAGATTCCATTTTTCAAGCGACGATTTAGAGTGGAACACGTGTATCTAATGTGCCAGCGAGGAGCGTCGCTTGGAACCAGGTTATGCTCTAGCGTCCGCTGCAATCGGGAGCACTGAGTGCGACGCGAGAAGGCGGGAAATTACGTCAGGTTCGGAGCCGACGAGAGTTTCGGCGAGCTCTGTGTGGTCCACCGAACCTAATGTCAAGGCCTAGAGAAAACCACGGGGACATGACCAACATACCACACCACATAGAATAAGTTGCGATCGAACCTGGCCAGCAGGTTGGGCAGTGAGGTTTTGCAGAAGCCAGGGGAGCGACAAAATCGAGACTCCGTAAGCACTGCACTTTTCCCCGCTGCACCCTAATGGCGAAGAACATGGAAGAGTTTTATGTGTACAGAACTTTATTTGAGTTATGCAAAGGGATATATAGAGTTTAAGCTTAAAATATTTGCATGTCTTTAACATATTAAACAGAAAACGGTACTCTTCTGCCATTGGAATAAGTGTAAGAAATATTGCATGTTTGCACAATTGCGAAAGACCAGTTGGTTGATGATACTAGGCTTCTGTTCTCAAGAGCGGGAACAGAATGGGACAAACTCAATGGCGTGTAACTTTTTCACTTTCTGAACGTCCGGACAGCCTGTCATCCGGACTTTTATAGGGTTACTGTTTTGTGAAATGTCGCTTTCTCTATGATTCGTGGACGGACTATGACGAAAGAAGTAACCCTAAAAAAGTCCGGACGTTGAGCCGTCCGGACGGTCAGAAAGAGAAAAAGTTACACGCCCTAAGACAGCTACCGACGCTGCTGGCCCTGGCACTGCTGCAGCTGGCGCTGCTGTTGGCGCAGCTGTTTTTCAGCGAGGGGAGGAGGACGAAAGAAGAGATATTGATGGTAAGAGTGTGAGCAGCAGCAGCAACGGAAAACAGTGCAGTGGAGAGGGTGAGGATAAGCAATGTTGCAAGGGCCGGGGGAAGGTGAGGGGTGGGAAATGGTACTGCCAGGACGAGAAAAAAAAGCACCAGGAAGCAGTGCAGAGTGAAGTAGAAGTGATGTTGCTGCACGTTCATGCGCTCTGCACAATGACGATTGAGGCCGATTGAGCCAAAAGGAAAAAAGGTGAGTTTAAACGGTTAGCCTTCCCGCTGAAGAGATGGAGGAGAGGCATGTGGAAGGGTCAGGAAGAAAGGGGAAGGATAGGGAGTTGGATGGGGGAAATGCTGGAGGAAGAAGGATGAGGTGCTGTATGAGAGGTAAGGCTACTGCATTTCCTTCTTCTCATCAATTTGCGATTCTCCCTATCCCCTTTCCTTCGTTCCCTTCCGCTGTAGCCTATGGCCTTCATTCCGCCCTCCTCCGATCCACCCCAGGAGGAAACCCCGACTTTTTTATCCCCCCTCCTACCATCCCCACTTCTCCCATCCCTCTCCCCTTTTCCCCGTATCCCCCCGCTTACCCTGCATCTTGTTACCCGCCCATCTCCTCGTCCCCCATCCACTATCCCCCCACCTCCATTCCCCCCATCTCTGATCCCCCGTCTCCCATTCCCCCACCTCCCATTCCCCCATCTCCAATCCGCCATCTCTAATTCCCCCATCTCCAATTCGCCATCTCTAATTCCCCCATCTCCCATCCCACCATCAATCTAACTCCTATCTCACGTTCCTCTGTCCCCCCTTGCCAATCCACCATCCCAAATCCCCATCCCCTATCCCCCACTCCACTTCCTCCATCGCCCATCTCCCACCTCCCATCCCCCACCCCTCATCCTCATACCCCATCTCCCACCCGCTTCTCCCACCCTGCTCTCACATTACCCTACGGCCCATTGATTAGCTTCAAGTCCGTCCTCCCACGGATCCGCTAATTTCGTCTGCCCCTTCACCCCCACCACCCCCCTTTCCCCCCACTCCCCGCCCAGCATCCCGTTGAGCGTGCGAAGACATGAGAAGCATCGGCAGATCCCCTTCTTGCCCCCCCGGCTCACACCGCCTTACCCAACGGCCCACAGCTTATCAACGATCGCCCTATGCGGGATTCGCCCGCCACGGTCAGAGACATGGAGAAGCATGGGCAGCATCCCACCCGTTCGCCCCCCCGCTCACACTGACTGTTTTCTCGTCCCCCCTGCCGCCCCACCGCCACCCCTTCCCTTGCTCACCGTCGTTCAGTGCCTTTCTCCTCTCCTCTCTCTTAGGATCGTAAGCACCTTAGTCGGCAATAGTCTACTTGCTATCGCCTATCGTGTTCTCCACGATCTCCCGAATCCAATGATATGCGCAGCTCTGCTTGAAGTTGTCAATACACACTTCAGCATTTTCAGAATCTGATTGGTATGATTTTCAGAATGAGTACAAGCAGTTTTATAGTCAGGCAAGACACAAAATGCGATTCGTAACTTCACTTGTTTCCCAAGTAACCGCATGCGCTTCGTTTTACCCGAGTCACACACGCAACCGAACCGAATTCGGTGAACACTCCTCAAGACCGAATCTGGAACCTTCTCGAACACCCCTCGAGCTCGAACCACAATTTCCCTTCGCCAACTTCAATCTCGATGCTTCTTCCACCTTCTCACACATTCCTTCTCGATTTCTCTCTCCCTTCTCACGCCGTAGGCCGATTTCCACCGTTTCACCTAGAATCATCCACGCGCTTCCATTTCGCCGTCATTCCGCCGTCGTAGAGACTTTCGCCATAGGTTCCGTGGTTGGGCGAACCAACCCTAACACTCTCCACTCCGCTCCGCCCTCCCCTCTCCTCTCCGTCCCCTCTCCTCTCCTCTCCCGCCCTCTCCTCTTCCGTTTCCGCCTTCTCCGATCCTCTCCGCCCTCTCCTCTCCGTTTCCGCCCTCTCCTATTTCGAGAAATGATCCCATCGCTGCTTAGCGCAGCGCCGTGCCACTTCTTACAACAAAAGCCAGTTTCGCAGAGGCGATTCAACAGTTTTACCCATCGAGACGTCTCAACGATTTCATAATTCGAAGCGTATCGAAACTCACGTCATTGCATCCTGTTGTCGGCTTGCCCTCACGGCCCATTACCCCCGTAAACACTACCCCGCCCGCAACAAATCGTTGAGGTGTTTGGTCGGGCCACCCACCCGCCGTTGCACGGACGACGCACAGGAAGGACAATATGCTGTTCTAATTCCACTTTATTCAATCGACTGAGAACGTAATTTACATCGTGAAGAAAATGCGGCGTGGGAATCAATCAACTACATAGCGAAGGAATTCATTGGGCCGAAAGTGTAAACTAGCACGCAGATTTGCCCTCTTCCCTAGCAAAAGTCGGGAGGAGAACGGGCGACCTGCGACTGCGACTGCGACCAGTACACAGTCGTGGGCGAAAAAATGTCGAACCGAGTGTCGTGAGGATGTATCATAAGGGCTTGTTTCAGAGCATTTCGGTAGGTCTGTTTCTGGTGCAGAACGGTTTGCAGGACATTGGATAGTCGCGTTGGGGTTGTTTGGCGAAGACGCAGGTTGAGGTAGGCCAGCGCTGACGAAGTAGAGCGAATCAACATTTTTGTCAACGAAGGTGTTGTTTGGCGAAATTCTGACTGCGTCAACCAAGATATACGGCTTTTGACGAAACACAACGAAAGCATGCACGGAATATAAGCGAGAAATCCGAAAAGTTTATATGTGCCAGCCGGGAATCGAACCCGGTCTGCCCCGGGCTCATGGCAGGGTGCTATTCTACCTCTTTATTGACACTATAGTGAATGTACAATGTATACAAGGCAAATTCAGACACCTAGTGCATGGAAAGACATGCAGGCTAATCCTATTGTGAGGCCTACAAATAGGCCTCTGAGATGTCTCAGTGGTCCTCTCCAAAGTAGGCAAAGTCAGCTGCAGAAAGAGAAGTCACCTCGGTGGTGCGTGGTTGACGCCCTCGGTAAAACGAATT